GACCTCAGAACTTGCCATTTATATAGTCATAATCTTTTACTTTACAGTTAAGAACACTTAAGGCTTCTCAGTATCTTTTCTGCGTCTCTTTCTTTTCAGAATGTTTTTTTTCCATATGCACTTCTCATTCATTGATTTCTAGTAAATGATACTTTACTTCTTCAAATTTCTGTAATACTTCCAGTGATGGCTTAAGAAAAGGCTTCTTACATATCCAACATTCTGTTGCTTTTTTGTATACCTTAAGATTTCCTGGTACTATTATCATTTCTGCAGATACAGATAAGTCCTCTTGTATATTTGTCAGCTCCTTCTCGATTTTTATAACAAATCTTTCAAGCACATCTGAACCTCTATATAAATCATGACTTATGATTTTATAGTTAAGTGAAGTATTCATATAAACAATTACATAGCAATAGCCAAACAGCTTGTGCATCTATAATCTTTTGGTATGGGTTAACTTCATCTTCTCTTCTGAGGTTAACTTTTCGGTTGACATTTCTAGATCTTAGAAAATGCGATATGAATTTGGTTGCATGCATTTATAGTTATAAAAAGCTTTGATACTCCTATTCTTAACTGGCATTTGTGATCACTGGGAGACATTATTTAGACTCTTGCATTTTGGCAAATGTTCATTGTATATTATCTCTGAAGAGTATACATAAAGACAATAACGGCAAAGGTATTTTCACCCTTTATGTTTGCTATGATTGTATACTAGTTTATGTAAATCTTTGATAATACAGTAGTGACTTTTTTCTTCTTCTGTAATTATTAAAAGATTTACTTGCTTATATTCATCCTTTCTTCTTTCTGAAACATAGTGAAAGTCAAGACATTTGTTTTAGTTGTACCATTCATAGACACATAAACTAATTTCAGGGTTATTTTCTTCAAACTTTTTATAAACTGGTGTTGAGACTGGTACTGGAATTGGGATGTCTTCCATATTAAGTTTTTTCACAAAATCTTTATATAGCCAATGCAGATTTCTTTCTGAATGAACTTTAACTGGATGTAAAACTCCTAGGATATACCACCTGAAGCATCAGTTATCATTATTTTAAATATTAATAATTCTGTTATTATGTTTTAGCATAGTTTCAGATAAAGGTATAAAGGCAATAGGACTAATTAAATTAAAATTAGCTATCTTTATATTTATTTTTTTGATATAATTAAGATATGCATCTGATATTTGATATATAGTTAGCTCTAATCATCACGCTATTACTTGCTTATATAATTTTTTCTTTAATTATTTATTTCTTATATACCTATCACTTTTCAATCATAGAAACCCTACTGAAGATTAGTATTTACAAGCTTTTTGAAGAGGTTTTAGCTATTGCAAACTGAAGCATTAATTAATTATTAATTAATCTTTTTGAATCTAGTAATAAAAAAGTAGGATAATTGGTAAATATTCTTGCACATTTCTCTGCAATATTGGAAAGACTTGTGAAAATGCTAGTATTAGGCCTGAAGGATGTCATTTCTATTAGAAAGCTAAAAAACGTATATCTTATTCTGATTGCAGAAAACTTATAGCCTCTGCTTGTAGACGATGTCTACTACATATTAGAGGTTATTATGTTATCAACACTATAATAGACTTTGACGAGAAAGAACTTATGTTGGTCAATCTTATGCTAGCCAATTCTATGATAGACTTCGATCAAAGATACGAGAAAGAAGTAATGAGAAAATAATGGTTACCTATAAAAATACGCTTACAAATCTTAATATTTCTCTTTGCAGGAAATGCTTCATTCTGATAAAAATGGAAGAAGAAGATTATTGCGTTAGTTGCTAACCAGAATAAATGAAAAGATTATTTCGGCTAACTTAAATTTTAGGCATAATATCCAATGAGCATTTTTGTTAGACTTGTTTTTTATATTTTTTCGTTAAAGTTTTATGCTATTTGATAAGCTAGCCTATGCTAAACCCGTTCTTGACTAAGGAAAAATTAGGACAATTCTGCAGATTTTACAGGGTGATATTTCATTAGACTTTTATATAAATATGCTTTTTAATAAGCTAGTCTGCATTGAACCCATTCTTGATTAAGGAAAAGTTGGGATAAAATTCTCATTAGACTTATTTTCGTTAGACTTAAGTAGTTAATATGCTAATTAATGAGCTAACTCATGCAGAATCAATTCCTGATATAATAATTTTCGTGAAAAAGTTAAGACAAAATTCTCGTTAGACTTATTTTTTTGGAAAAGTTAGGACAAAATTCTCGTTAAACTTATTTTTATTAGACTTAAGTAGTTAATATGCTAATTAATGAGCTAACTCACGCAGAATTAATTCTTGATATAATAATTTTCGTGAAAAAGTTAGGACAAAATTCTTGTTAGACTTATTTTTTCAGAAAAGTTAGAACAAAATTCTTGTTAGACTTATTTTCGTTAGATTTAAGTAGTTAATATGCTAATTAATGAGCTAATTCGCACAGAATCAATTCCTGATATAATAATTTTCATTAGATTTAAAATATAACTGAAAAGTTGATATAGAAAATTAAGGTTCTAGAGCCTTTAGAAGCTTTTCTAATATAATAAAAAATTAATATTGATTTTATAACTCCTGCAAGCATATAATAGCATGGGAAGACAGATATTTCTGTCTTTAAATCCCATAATGTCATTGTGTTAGCTAATTCAAATATAATCAATATACATAATTTATATAATTAGTAATACTAGAATAAAAATTTACTGAATTTGTAATTTTATTAATTTGTAGAAATTTTAGCAATTTTTTATAAGAAAATTTCTAAGTTTACATAAAATGTATGTTTACGAATCATATGACATATATAGTGTCATACCCTTCTGCCTTTAGTTTTTACTATTTATTTCAGAAACTTAGAATTTTTTCAGTGAAAATTATTATTCGTTACAAACTATTTATCACATAGTTATCATACAGATATTTTTTAATTTTTTCATTTTGGTAAAAAGTAATATTAATGTTAGCTATATCATATGATTTATATACAATATACTTGTGTACAAATAAAAATTATTTTTTTATAAATTTATATTAAAAAATAATGATTTAAATTTATATGATCATTTAATATATTTTAGAGAAAAAGATTGATAGCAGTAAAAAATTATTAAGCTACTTACGATAATAACTTAAAATATTCAAATATTCTCATTTTATTATTATAAAAAAACTTTAATATTACATAATCTTTTGGAATTAGATATAAAATATTTTAGACTAAAGATGGTTACTACAATTAAAAAAATAGCGTAATTGAGTTGCAACTTGTGACGCAATTAAATTTCCTTATGACACAATTAAGTTGCAACTCAATTGAAATTTGAAAATAATTATGAAGACCATCTTTATTTTAGACATTAGTAATCACTTTAATTTGACTAAATTTATATTTAATATTCTATCACAATTATATAATACTATTATTTTTTCTTATTAGAAATGCAATTAAGTAACTATTTCAAATTAGCACAGAGATGTAAATTCATCATAGATATAATGAATTTATAAAATACTCTGTTTATGATAGATAGTTTGAATTTAAAACAGTTTAATAATAATAAAAGAATAATTTATTAAATCTATTTATGGTGGAAATATTATAAAAATAAAAAAAAATAAAAAAAATACTATTTATCTAATAAGTTTATATTAAAACTATCTATAACTTCTATAATTAAAAGTTTAACTAAAAAAATTTATATGATTGTTTAATCTAAATGATTTATATATTAAGGATATATATATTAAGTTAACATTATTTTTTAATAATTTTTTAACTATAAATGCTCAAAGTAAGTTAATAATAATGATAACAGCTGATAGATATTTTTTCAGTTTATATGTATATAATTTACATTTATTTTATATATTTATTATTAAATGTATAGTAAGAAGCATTAGAATTGTAAGTGTAGTTATACAAATTATATTTCTTAAAGTATTTTTTATTATCAGAATTACAATAAGAAACGAAATTGCAATTTGAATTTTTCTTTGACATTTTAATAGATTCATTTCTATTCAGTGATTGTTCAGATACATAAAGTAACTATGGTAAAGATAATTAAGAAAAGTAAGAAAAGATTGAATTTTATTTTAATTTTTTAGATTTTCAATTAAGTTTATATCAATTTTATTAATTTTTATCCTTTTTTTTCTTAATCTTTTTATATAATATTTTTTTATCATAATTTATAATTATGATTAACTAAATTCTCTATTATTAATCAAATTATTTATTTCATAAAAAAAAGAATCAGCCTTATAAAAATATTTAATCTGTATTTTATATTCCATTTTTTTTATTAATAAATGTAACATCTTCATATAATTTATGATTAAAATTACTTGTCTTGCTTAGATCCTTCCATGAATATAGATATTTATGAATTTTTTTGCAGACAGTATGGGATAGATACCAATTATATGGAGTTTTAATATATATAATGTATAACCTATGTTTTAAGTCTATTTCTTAGATATATTTTTTAACTTTCTTTGTAATTGGTTTATCTTTAATAAAAAATGATGATCATTCAAATACAAAATCAAATGTTATATCAATAATACATCTCAATTTATAAAATTGTTAAAGATATTCTAAGAGAAGTCAGTTTAAAACACAATGGAATTTTAACCAGTTTATTGCAATATTTATATAGAAGTCTAATAAGAATAATTAAATGTGTTTAGCACTTTTATGGAAAAAATATGAAAACAAGATTTCAATCCTGGTAAATGCTTTAGTTACGTGATTGTGAAGGGTGAATGTTATAGTGATGAAAATGGTCAGTTAATATCACAAAGAAATATTGATTATATCACAAATAAAGAAAAATACATCATATATTAAAACTACTTATCAAGAATAAAATAAAATAGAATAAATTTAATTTATTAAAAAAAATGAAAACAACATAATACTATGAACGCTTAGAAATAGAATATTAACTCAGCAATAGATAAAACTATGTTTGAAATTCGGCACGCGAACAGCCAAAAACATCTTGCAATTTACCATCTTTATCTGGGTTTTCCCCAACACTAACAAAAATTGCGTAGAATTTAGGAAATTCAGTTGGTGTTGGAACATTATCTACATCTATAGAAAATTTGGTTCCAGCTTTAACTGATTCAGTAAAATTCTTAATGTAGGGGGGTATTATGGAAACAAAACGCAAACCATCAAAAAAATCTATGTCTAGCGCGGTTTTTCCTGCGGTAATATCATGCTCTAATGTTCCTGAAACAGTAAAATGTTCGGGGGTTTTGGCAACTGGAGGGTCAGGCGTAATTGTTACATCGACTCCGGGCCTTGGTTTGATTACTGTATAACATTGTAAAAATTCAGTTTTTCTTTTATTAAATGGAATAGCGTTGACTGTATAAAGTGTAGTCAATAAAATAAACACAAAAATAAAATTTCGGTTCATGATTTTTCTTTGGCAAATATCTGGATTGAGTTTCTTTTATGAAGATTAATTGTTAAATAAAAGAGTAACCATTGTTAATTTGACTTCAGAGTTACTTTTTATACGGGGAAAAAGTCTTTGATCACCATAAATCCTTTTTTGAAGTTAATTTTAAAAGAAGATACGCATAATCATTTTATATCACAGACCGAATAGATGAATTCAATATTATTGATTCCGTTTGAATGAAATCTCATATGAAATTCAGGTTAAAACCGTTTTGGTTATTAATATCTAAACCTATCCAAATGTATTTGGTATATTCACCGATTTACGTTTGCCGATTACACTATGAATCTTTCGTCATTTTGTAAATCCTCGTGCATCTATCTATATTCAAATATTGTTTTATTAATATGATAGTAACATATGACACGCAAAAAATAAATACAAAGTTCGTGGATGAGCTTATAAAATTCATCCATTATATGAGTATCAATTTTTGGTAAGCTGTAATTATAATAAATGAAAATTATAAAAATGACAAATTATATTAGTTTTAAATAATTACTTTAACTTTAATAACTATTTATACCGTTATAAAATTTTAACATTAGTAGTAATGTACTTTTCGAGAATATTTAATTTTTTTGCATAAAAAATCATAATTTTATTTATTTATTTTTTTTTTTAATAAATTTTTTTTTTGAAATGATTTTTCGATTTTTCGATTACATTTTTTTTTTTATAAGTAAAAATTAAGGAAAAAAAAAAAGGTGAGAAATAAAGAAAAAGAAATATTACTAAAAAGAATTTTTTTTTTTTTTTTAGTTTACAAAAGTTATACAAAAGTGATATTTCTCAACAAAAAGGTAACTAAAAAAGAAAAAAAAAAAATTCTTCGATATCGATTTTCAATTTTTATATAATAAAACAGAAAAAAAAAAACAATTCCCCAAACTTTTTTTTTTAAATTCGTGAAATAAACAATGGGTTGTGATGAAGGAAAAAAAATTTTTTTAAAGATACTGAGGTATTCTTTTTGAATATTTCATATTATGCTAAAATATACTTTTTGAGGAAATAATAAAGAATATATAAATGGATGTGGGTGGGCATCGCAAATAACGGAATAATTTTGGAATAAAAAAAGGCGTCATTTAAAAAGTATAATAACATAATATGTAAAAAAAAATGGAGACAAAATGTTCTCTTCAAAAAGAAAATGATTTTTTTTTTTGATTGCTACTTATACTACATGCAAAGATTAAAGAAATGTGGGGTTTTTTTTTTTTAAAAAAAAAAAATATTATAAAAAAACCCTTTTTTTTTTGCGTACCGCGATTTGAACTCAATTTCTTTTGTTTTTTGAAAAAAAAAAATTCACATTATTGTTAAAAATTGTTCGAAATAGAGTATCAAATGCGGCACAAAATGAAAAAGAAAAGAAAAAAAAGAAAAAAATATACAAAGAAATAACATAAAAAAAATTTTGTTTTTTGTTAATTTTTTTTCCCATAAGGATTTTTTTTACACTGAAAGAAAAAAAAATCTCATAGTGTTCTTGACCTCCTTGGGGAGGTAGTAGTAGCAGCTTTATTGTGGTAACCAGAGGAAGCAGATGACCTTCTACGTGGTTTACGTTCTTTTTGTTCAATTTTGTCGTATCCGGTGAGATAACGCATATACAAAATTGTTTCAGCAACACCAACGATGACACTTCCGGTAAAAGCGAGCAACACACGCTGTTATTAAAAGAATATAGGTTAGCAAAATACGGTTGACTGGAAAATATCAAGTTTCTCAAACGATACATACCATACCCGTATCACCAGTTATGGTTTGGGCAACGTGATAAACAGCTGCGAATACCGCTACAACAGTGAACGTGATGTTGATTATTGCAGTTAGTTGACCGCGAACGCTTTGGAATTCCTCGGTGTCAAGTAGTTTAAAGGTCTCCACATCATAAGAGGAGGCGACTCTACCAATCATACGTGCATATTCCTTATTGGCTTGTTCAGCAAGGATCGATTCTAAACGAGCGATCAATTCTGGACTCTGTGAATTAATGAATACAAGGATTATAATTAGATAATTTTGATTTCTTAAAGAATGTAATAACGGAAGAGCAAAAATATATATATTACCTTAGGCTTCTCTTTGCGAGGTTCAACGTAAACCCCGCTGCCGGTGAGTAGGTCATGAAGCCAATAATTGGAAAGGCCTAAAATGAAATAAATTAATAAAATATTAATAAGGAAATGTGGGAAATGTGGGAAATGTAAAGGTGCGTGAATGTGAATTGATGACATAAATTACTAAAAAAGGGTGAAAGATTGGAGATCCAAGGTGTAAAAACGTTAATGATTATCAAGGTAAGATGGTCAAAGCAACTCGGTGAAAATCGGAAAACGAACAGGGTACCATATTACACCCATACCAGGAATGTGTAATATAAATAAAAAAATGTTTGCATATTCACACAAACAAAAAAAAAAAAAAAAAAAAAAAATCATCGAAAAAAAGAAAAAAAATTTACCAATTTCTTTACCGAGTTTACCATCGCGGCCAAGCAAAAATTTTGAAACCTCCTTGATTAAATCAAGAGGAACGCAAGCGGAGGCTTTAAGGTAAGACTTAAGCCTTTTCTTTGCGGATTCGTCAAATTCAGGAGATTGTACGGCTTGGTATATGGCAGTTCGGATACGGTCAGTTAATACTAACAAAACCATGTTGTTTGAAGGGATTGACGAGAAAAAGTAAGGGGGTGTGTTTTAATTTTGTTATATAAAAAAAAAAAATATTAACGTTATATTTTGTTTTGAATATATCGTAAAAAATGTTAAAAATGTTTTTTAAACGTTCGTTTCAAAAGTTTTAAGGGTATAAAGTATTTTCTTAGTAAGATATCATTAAAAGTCAAAATTTTAATTTAGGGTCGTAACATAAAATTTTTATCGACTTCTAGGAAGCCAAAGAGAGGGAGAGAAGAAACTTAAGGGTGTCAAATATCAAACTAATTCGACTGAGTGAACGAAGGGAAAGGCAGAAAGAGTCGGGTTTAAATATTTGTTTTTGTTGATGGGATTGATGAAAAAGTTCATTGTACAAATTATTAATAATATCTACCAGTTACTTTGCACTACTACATAAAAAGTTTTATTGTTTATTGTATGCGCCATGATACGCTTTAGATTAACTTAATTGATTCAGAGGCTATTATTTGGCGGCTAAATAACGACAATGAAATTTTTATCGATCGTAACGGTGCACAGAATAAATTCGCGTGAGTGTGCTTCGTGACAAACAAAAGTAACACAGACCATCATGATTATGTTTTTAGTGTAACACCTATTGTTGTTATTGTAAACCACATTATAAACCACATGGAAAACATCTTGAGAACATCTTCATGAGTCTTTACATTTTCTATTGTTATTAGTGCCTGTCACATGAAAGAACATTTAAGTAGATTTGACACTTTTTATATGCTAATATTACATGGGCGGAATTCATTTAATCATACGATCTGTTCATGCCGCAGAGGCCAACTGCAATCAGGATTCTCAGATAACATCAGCATTAGAGTATCAAAGAAATTATTTCCTCCCAACCCTCTGAAAAAAAAATATTATATATATGCACAGACCATCATTAAATGCTGCGAATTTCAAGTTTTTCTGCTTGATTTTATTTTATTTTATTTTTTAATTATTGTTATTTATTTTTTTTTTTCCTGCAAACATTCCCAAATCATACATGGATCATCAACAACAGGAAATTCTGCTATTATTCAAATTTATAAGGAAATTTATATTAAGGAAAAAAAAATTTTTTTTTTCTAGCATGTGAAAAATTTAAAATAAAATTTTTTTTTTTTTGAATTCATAGTTATACAAGGGGTACAAGTTTTATAAATACAAACATCACGGGACATTACCACCTTATAAGAGAATTCTTTATATATCTTTTGCTAATGTAAAAGTTGAGCCGCATATAGTTTCATATCTTTGAGAGTTTCACGCCATTCTTTTAAAGTTTCAATTGTTTTCTTTAACATTTGTTCTGATGGAATATCTTGTGGTAGCATTTTAGATGATATGTCGAGATTTATTTCTTCATTGTTATCTAACACTAATAAAATAACTTTCATGATGAAATCTCGCAGCTGTGGCACTACTCTCATAACTTTGTTGATTTGCTCTAGAGAAGGAACGACTCGATTCACATCATCGATTCTTAAAGTTAACATAATTTCCTAATTAAATAAAAATAATTGATATTATTATTTTTTTTTTTTTATTTTTAAAAAATCATGATTTTATTTAATTACCTTGACCAAATTGGCCAAGATTTCGGTTTCCAACTCATCAACTTTGCCTAACTGTAATTTGAAATACAATTTATCTTTGAAAATGTTTCGTCGTGTTTCCGTTGATTTTGACCCTTTGGTATATATATATAATAAAATAAAAAATTCAAATAACTAAAAAAAAAAAAGAAATTGCAGTCTCTCATTTCCTATACCCTTGGAAGGACTCTTAAATAATGGCCTTGTGTTCCTTTTGAACGCTTGCAATTCTAATTTGAGTTGTTCGTTCTCCTCACGTAGCTGCTCAAGTTCGATCACATTTTCTCGATCTTTGACTTCAACGGTTTCTACTTCTTTTATTACTTCTTCTATTTCATTCTCTAGCTTTTCTTCCACCATCTCTTCGTTTTGTGAGAGATTTCTTACTTGATTTGATAATTCATCTAACTATTAAATTAATACGCGCTTCATATTAATAATAACTTAATCCAAGTCATCATGCATGATTAATACATACGCTCCCTAAAATATTAGACGTATCGAATGTCGTTGAACTTTTCTTCTCATGATTTTGCAATAAATATCTCAATTTTGCATAATCAATTTGTTCATTTGAATTTACGGCAAAATGCGTCACATTGCCTTTATCAATAAAACAAAAAAAAAAAAGGAAAGAATAAAGAAATACACCACGAATTAAATTAAGGGCCAATATGGAATTTTGTACGTGATTAAGGAAAGTAAAAGAACCAATTACTTGTAATGGAAGGTAGTTCAGTAATCGTTGAATTGCTTATTATTATAAAGTCATTTCGTGAATATTGAATGGTTGGGCTTGGGTAATACTCGTGCGGCTTTGTAGGGTGAGCAAAAGAAGAAAAAGAAGAACAAGCTGACACGTAAATTGAGTGGTTTTCTTCCGATGTCATGTTGTCGAGAGTAAATGTACGTTTATTAGTTCTGAGTCGTCTATCAAATTATCGGACTTTAAATATTTAAGGTACACGCGTTTTTTTTTGTTTTTTTTGTTTTTTTTTTTTTTTTTTTGTTGATAATTAATCACGTGGTTAAATTTCTCAAATCTACAAAACCGACTAAAATAAACCTACTTCCTTTGGTAATCTTTCTGCCTGCGTGTAAATGTCTACTATCATGTACCAAACAGTCACCCATTTCAATTTCATATAACTTTTCGTTGAAAGAAAAATAAGTTCCACCACCTTCAAATTCGTTTCTCATATTTAATAAAATGTTAAAAGAAATCAAGCATCCATCGCTATGTAATTTCAATTCAGATTGTTCGCCTTCTTTTGCTTCATATTTTACAAAAAATAAATCCTTAAAATCTAGTTCATTTGAAGATTTAAATCCGGCATTAACTGATATCTTTGTTATAACCCGTGAATGTAATATGTCACGAATAAAGTTGTTTAAAGTTGGAATGGAGGAACATGGAATATCTGTTGTCGGATACGCTGAATGCCTTGAAGTTGTCCAACCTTCAACATTCCTTTTTACTGTTTCGTTCGTATCATTTGGAATCGAGGAAGACACGTGATTTAAGACCTTTTCTAAGATCATGTTACATTCTTCTTGATTTAGAATTCCTGGTAAAATATAAGGTTGTCTTTGCGTTAGATCCCGAGAAATTTTATAAAATAATCTGGATTGTTCCGGTGTACGGTCTAATGAATTGCTTGGTAATTTCGCAAGACATTCCCTCCTTTTAATCTCGAATTGTTTTGCTATCGAAGCATAGAATGCTTCTTCTTCTTCGGTAAATTCACTAAATAAATCAAATTCGAATTTTTTTTGTTGGTTCATTATAAAAACTTTTTTTTTTTCGGTGAAAAAAAAAAATTACGTCATATCAGAAAATTCAAAAGCTAAGCCACTATTTTTATTATCTGATCTAAAAAAAAAAAAAAACGAAAAAAAAAAAAACGAAAAAAATTTTTTTAATATGGGAAAAAAAAAATTAACCATTCCTTCAAAACCTCGAGTTAGATCAAATAAAAAGAATCCCTTAAAAAGTAAACAACCAGAAAATCCCGGTAAATCATCCGGAAATGACATTTTCGAAATCGACCGGGAAGAAATTAGTAAACAGGAACGGCGTCGTAAAAATATTGATGAAATAGAAAGCTATGAGTATGCTGGCTCGGAAAAGATTGTTAAAGAGGATGACGAGGAAATTGATAGTGATGAGGCATTTGATGATTCGGACGAAGAAAGGTTTGGACATTTTATATTTAGAGGGTCTAATCAAAAGGTTGATCATTTTTCTTTACCGTTATTATTCGAGTTGATTTTTCTAATCATACATAACATCAGCGTTAATTTAAATATTTATAGAACGTAACAAACCGATTAGGTAAAGAGATCGATTTAGATGAGAATGAAGATGATGATGAAGATGATGACGAAGATGAAGAAGATGATGATTATGAATTAAATGTGGATCAAGAAGAAGAGGAAGATGATGTTAGAATAAATGAAGATAACTACGTGGATTTTGTCGGACTTGGTGGATCAGATAGTGACGAAAACAAAATGGATGAGGAAGTCAAAGCTTTATTGGAAGAAGAAGATAATGATGTACAAGAAGTAAATGATGAAACAAAGTCGGATAATTTGGCTTCGTTTATCGGTTCATTGGACAAAAAACGAAAAAGAACAGTTTATGAAGACATCAATTCTTTAGATAAACCGAAAAAGCAATTGAAGGAACATGCAGAAGTTTTTGAAGAATCAGAATATAATCTAACCACTAGGGAATCCCCGAATGTTAAAAAGAAAGTTGATCTTCAAGACCTTATTGGATCAATTCAAGAGGAAACTGGTTTTAGTAAATTAAAACAAAAATTAGTATCACTAGAAAGTGGTGGTAATAAAGGAACTTATCAAGAACCTTTACCCGCTCCTTTACCTACTCGAATTCAAGACAAGTTGAATAGACAAGCTGCTTACGAAGAAACAAAAAAAGATATTACTAAATGGGAGCCGATTGTCAAGCAAAACCGGGAAGCTGACCATTTGAAATTTCCTATGAATGATCAACCTTCGCATAATCCAACTAATAATGTATTGGCTGCTACATTCCAAGTATGTTAAGCATTCTACGAATTATTATCATTTACGAATTATTGTCAATTAATTTCTTTATTTAATTAAAGCCTTCAACAGAGCTTGAAAAGAAAGTTGATTCCATATTGGTAGAAAGTGGTGTAAAAGAAAAGAGTTTGCAACAATATGAAGAACTTCAAATGAGTAAATTATCGGTTGAGGAAGTTGAAAATCGAGTCAAGGAATTGCGTAAAATGCGGGAATTAGTATTTCGCGAAGAAATTAAAGCAAGAAGGATCGCTAAAATCAAAAGTAAAGCGTATCGCAAGATCAGAAAGAAGGAAAAAGAAAAAA